CTATGAAAATCATAACTATGTATCTTATACCTATACAAGCAAGCAATTTCACCTTAAACTTTAGGCGTCACAATGTGTAGTAGCCATTATCTTTTTGTAGGTAAACTTTTCACATAATATATAACTGTCAACAACAAAAATCTTTTCTCGAGAGCTGAAAATTCTTCTTTGTTTCTGTTTGAATCCATCAATATGCAGCAGCTTTCTAGTTTCTCCGTGTGTTTACACAGGATAGCGGGACCGCACTCCATCTGACCATCGGGAACGGGCATATTGCGGTAGTGGAGCTGCTGATTCAACATGGCGCTGATGTGGAGGCGAGAGACAAGGTAAGTACAGACAATCATACAGTCATTTTATACAGTCAAGAGACAAAGCTATTTCGCCGAAAAGCTTAGAATTTACAATGATTCATAGCCACAATGTTTATACAGCTAAACTTTGCTCATGATTAATATGAACTGTTAAACAACGTTCCTGCTGAAAAACTAAAAACTAGAAAGGCCGACATTTGCTTTGGAGCAAATTCAGCATGGCTTCACCACATTTTACGACATGGCAGGGAAAGAATGAGAAACACAAGGGAAAACAATGTTTTACATTGATATAACTATAGTATGAAGTAACATACAACTAAGACTACAACAGTTGGATAGCTATTCCCTACATTATTGGTTAGGATTTTTAATTGCATAATGCAATCTGTTGATTTTCAAGATAAAAAGAAGCGTTCATGCCCCGCATTCCAATGCTGGAGCAGGAAAGCTTAAAATGCCGACCAAAACACTTGAATACAGACATACTGTCAGTATGGCATGGCTCTGTGCAGGTATAAATGAGGTTAAGCCAGTTAAATCCCAACAGCCAATCAGCAAGGAGAATAGAGGAAAGCTGCATGCCTATTGGTTGATGCCCTGCATGCCATTGTGATGACTCATGCCCAAATGTGGTAAACACTGCACACTTACACAGTAATACATTAGCTATTACACAGCCAAAAAACTCAAATAAAACCATTCTAAAAGCCTGTATCACAATAATTTAAAAAACGCCTAGGGGTATTTGCCCACTGTACCTCCATACCAAATTTCAGGACCTTGGGCCCCAAAATGAAGAAGCTGAATCCATTTAAAGATATGGCAGGAGGAGAAGAAGAAG